ATTCCTCTAAGGCAAATTAACATCCCATTCATGTAGACGAGAAAAATCGAGCATTATAACAGTAACCTTATGGTGTCCTTAAATAAAATTCAAAGTTAGATTAACTTGTTTTAAAAAATGTTACTTGCAAAGTTAAAGTTACATATTTTTTTTCAACAGAATCCAAATTTACAATAACTGTCATCTCAATCACACTGATGTTACTAAGGTACTAGATGTATCCAATGATTTGTAAATGACAAGCTAATAAGAAAATATTTGACAATTTACCAAAATTGTAAATTAAATCTCTTTTTATTATTGAAGAAAAAACAACAACCAAAAACATGCAAAAACAATGATTACAATAAATTTACATGGTATTGTTTGTTTGAATCTTCCCATTGATATTTGGGACTGCAATTGATCAGTCTACTATCGGCACACTGTTGGTATTGCTTTGATATTGCCTTAATTCACAAGCATTATAAGCAAAGATGGATAGTGACTAATAGTGGAATCCAGAACGTGCGTTTCGTCCTATTTGGGACTCGTCAGCTGGATTTACCTGAATCTCAGAGTTGATGTTCACTCTGCGACTCGAACTCAGTACTGTTTCACTGCTAGCCGCAATCCATCTTTACTTATAATGTGTACAAATAATATCAAATGGTTTGTTATGTTTTATAAATGTTTTATATATATCAGAAGAAAAGGTAAGTTTGTTTTACCAAAACTGATGAGACATTTGTACATGTTCTTCTTTAATAGTCCATAGAGTATATAAATTATTAGATTGAATAAAATAAGTATTCATTCTGTGCTCTCTATAAAACATGAAAGTGGGAATTTCTGCAAAGTATTTCTTATTTAAACGTTTATCATTTATTACATAGTTGAAATCATGAGTCAGTTGAAGCTAGACCACCATGAAAAAACCTGGAAGCACTGGACGGCCGTTTCGCCTTATTGTGTGACTCCTCAGCTGTACACATTCACAATCCCGCCTCGCGAGATTCGAACTCAGGACCTGTCAGTCTAGAGCGCGAGCACTTAGCCGATAGACCACTGAACCGACATCATTTATATTTTAAAAAAATTAAATAAATTTAGATAAATTAAAACGTCAGCTTTTTGGATAAAGAAAATATGAGAGTATAATTTATGGATGACATTTGAGAGACGCTAAAGTGATCATGAGAATGTTCACCTACTTACTAGGGCTAAATGAATGTTTTAAACCTGTATGAAGTATAAAGAGTATGATTTATAGTTAATGATTAGGGTTAAGAATTATGTTTAGGATATTCGTCACTAACTGATTGAATCTTCTCATTGATGTTAAGGACTGCAACTAGTCAGTCTCTTATTGGCATATGTGCATACTGTACGGACTGCCTCGATATAGCCTTAATTCAGAAGCATTATAAACAAATATGAATAGTGGTTAGGAGTGAAATCAGGGATGTGTGTTTCGTCCCATTTGAGACTCGTCATCTGGATGTTCACCTACTTACTAGGGCTAAATGAAAGTTTTAAACCCATGTGAAGTATAAGGATTATGATTTATAGTTGATGATTAGGATTAAGAATTGAGTTTAGGATATTCGTCACTAACTGGCATCAACTCAAATATCAAAACACTATTTAGTCAAATGAATGAATGGAATTCGCTCCAAAATTCCATGACCTGTTATCTCATATCTAATTAGTTCGTCTATAAATTATAGTCTAGCAAAAAATTTATATTCATTTAAATAATATCTTTACAGCTAATGTGAGCAATGAAATATCATGGTTAACCATATCGATTTAGTATTTCTTTACTACTATTCACTTACGACTCTAAACAAGATAAGAGATCTAGAACATCAATACTCCAACAAAATAATCCATAATCATTCAACATAATATTTATTAATAAGCAAATATGGATAGCGGCTAACAGTCAGACTCGTCTCAAATATGACGAAACGAGCGTCAAACTGGATTCCACTGTTAGCCAATATCCATCTTTGCTTATAATGTTTGTGAATTGAGGCTATATTAAGGCAATACGCACAGTATGCACATATGGTCAATAAGAGGCTGACCAGTTTTAGTCCTAAAACATCAGTGGGAAGGTTCAAACATACAATACCAAGTGAATTCATAATATTTATTTATTTGCAATGATAATTATATGTTCAGTTACAATAGATTATTTCAGTTATTCATATAGAATTCATTATTACTTCAGTAATTATTAAGTTGTCATCATTCAGTGCATACTTTCTATTTGTATGAATGTCATCGTTTGAAGATATACATTTGTAAGGTAAATAGTATTGTGTAATCAATGGTATAAAAGGAATATGAAATACCCATATAGAAGGAAAACTTGATGAATACAAAGAAGAGTTTAATTTTAATTTATGTTACCTTAGACACTTCTTATTTATACGCACTTTAAGATATGTATCCCGGAGTTCTAGTGGGAAGCAGTGACCAGTGGAGTCTAAACCACGTCTGTTGTGAGATAACAACTCACTGAAGACATTGGTGAATAGTTGCTTGATTTCTTGGATTGATTGAGGTTAGACATTAACACTCTTGTATGCCGGCTAAGTGGTCTATCGGTTAAGTGCTCTGGTGCGAGACTAGTAGGTCCTGGATTCGAATCATGCTCGCGAGGCGGGATCGCGGATCCGCACTGCTGAGGAGTTCCACAATAGGGGACAAAACGGCCATCCAGTGTTCCAGGTTTTTCATGGTGTTCTAGATTTAATTGACCCATGGTTTCAACTATGAAAACATTAAATAATGGTTATCTGATGTTTTAAGTTTTTTTTAATTACCACCATTGTTAATCATTACTCATTGTATGTTAAGATTATGACATTCGGTTAACAAATAGTTTTTATAGCTTTATGAATGTATAAATTAAACTTTACAAGCAAAGATGAATATTGGCTAACAGTGGAATACATGACGCGTGTTTTGTCTTATTTGGTACTCGTCAGCTGTATGTGCCTGCATCACAGAGTTGATGTTCACTCTTGAACGCGAACTCAATACCGTTCACTTTAAACTCCACCGCATTATTCACTTATACAGATGGTGACTTCAGACGCTATCGAGGCAGTTCGCACAGGATTCACATATGCCAACAGGAGACTGATCAAATGAATTCTTAAACATCGATGGGAAAATATAAGTAAACAACATCAAATGAATTTAAACTTTTATAAAACACAACGTAAATTTTCTAATTATTATACTTTTTGAACAAGAATCGATTCATTTGAAAACTTTTTTTTTCTTCTATAGAACAGAATTAGGTCATAAATTCAATTGGTATTGTTTGTTTGAATATTCCCATCGATTTTGTTAGGACTGCAACTGGTCAGTCTCTCATATTGGCATATGTGCATACTGTGCGTATTGCCTCGATATATCCATCTCTTCTAGAATTAGGTCATGTTTCAAAAGAAAAAGTAATAAACAGTTATTTCAATGAAATCAAAGCTTATTTATAATCGTTATTTTTTCTTTTTACAATCTTTATTATTATTAACTTTGTGTACTTTTAAATTTTCTTTGATCTTCTTTATTCTTCCCATCAATGATCGATTCGGTTTATCAGTCGAACATGTACATAGTACAATAGGCATATAAAAATGATTAAATCAAGGTTTTGAAGAACTACTACAAAAAACAAACACTAAATGATATTTAGAAGGGGATTTCGGGGAGATTTCATAATTGAAATCATGAATCAATTGAAGATAGACCATCATGGAAAACCTGGAAGCACTAGACGGCCGTTTCGTCATATTGTGGAACTCCTCAGCAGTGTATATGCACGATCCTGCCTCGTGAGATTCCAAACTCAGGTTTTTCATGATGGTCTAGCCTCAATTAACTCATGATTTCAACTAAAATGATATTCCGACAAATAGCGTAAAATTCTATTGAAGTCTGAATAATCAATTTCGTTGAATTGTGGATTGGTTGAGGTTAGACATTAGTACAGCTGGGTGCCGGCCGGCTAAGTGGTCTATCGGTTGAGACTGGTAAGTCCTGACTTCGAATCCTGCGAGACGGGATTGTGTGTGCCCACTGCTGAGGAGTCCCACTATAAGACGAAACGGCCGTCTAGTGCTCCCAGGTTTTCGATGGTAGTTTAGCTTCAATTGACTCATGATTTCAACTATGTAAAATCAATGAAAGAACTTTATTACCGGTTAAAAAAAATATCAAAATGTTTGATAATATTTCTATATTTGTCACCCTATTAACTAAAGTTTGTAACGTTATTTTTTTGTATTTTGAAGACTGAAGATTGAATTGTAAACAATTATCGGTTGGTTTTTCGTTGATGTTTTACTAGCATAAAGAAAGGTTATAATGTTACGTAACACTGAGACATATGAATTGTTTGGTTCTTTTAAGTTACACAAGTTTGTTATCATCTGTGATTACTTACTTACGCCTGTTATTCCTCGTGGAGGAGCATAGACCGCACATCAGTTTTCTCCATTCAACCCTGTCCTAGGCTATCCTTTCCAGTTGTTATTCATCCCTTTTCATATCTGCTTCTACTTCCCGGCTTAATGTGTTCTCTGGTCTTCCTCTTTTTCGCTTTCCTTCCGGATTTCCAGCTAGGGCTTGTCTCGTAATGCAGTTTGGTGATTTCTTTAATGTATGTCCGATCCACTTCCATTGTCTTTTCCTAAATTCCTCTTCAGCTGAAAGCTGGTTTGTCCTCTTCCATTAAACACTGTGCTGATAGTATCCGTCCAGTGAAATCGTTTGTTATACTCACTAAATAAATATGTTGCACAACACATTGATGCTAGTCAAAAAGGATATTAGGATACACTTATTATGCTATACTCAATAGAAATTATATCTTTTGAATTTCGTTAAAAAAGTTAAGCCCCCCAAAAATTCCTCAGTATAACTATTGCGACTTGTAGTTTCTTGTTCCCTGTTTAAATAATCATATTGAGGTTTATTTTATTTCAATCATACAACAGGTTGAAGGACAACCAAATGCTTATGCAGATGCATTAGACTATTTAAATATGATATTTACTGGTGTATTTACTGTGGAGTTCGTGCTCAAGTTAACAGCTTTTGGTTTTAAGGTTAGTCATTATAAAAGTTTACTTTTTTTTTCTTATTTTTGTAACTAAATACGAATTTCTTTTACTACGACTGCATAGTGATTAATGTTACTGTGTCCGTTTTATCTTTAATTGAATATTATAGTATGATTTTGTATACATTAGTGCATTATTATGTAATTACATTGATCTTTATAGTTGTACAATTTACAAAATACATTCTTCTTCTTTATTGTCTTTTATCTTCACATTCTAAATATAAATGACTGATTTTCATGAAGCTTTGTTCTCTGAGATGGATGGTTTGGTCGTGGAGCTTTCATCGTCCTTCTGAACGACATCATCATCAGCAGCACAAATGTCGGGTAGAAATGACTGATATAATCATGTATTAATAGAAATTCTAATATCCTTGCGTATGGAGATTGGCGGGGAAGCCAATTCGCTATGAGCAAGCATTACTCATTATTTATAATCAGACAAAAATGAATGACAGACATATGATGAATAGGATACGAAGGGTACACGTATACGCTCATATAAAAATATAGTCAAGGTTAATAAGCGAATAATTAACAAGATCAAAATATGACTCATAATGGATAGGTGAATTAGCTTGGCCAGAAGCTAGAATAAAGTATATGGGCTTAACATATACACCGATACTACAACCGTTTCATCCTAATATGGAAATCCTGAGCAATGTGCATCCACGGTTCCACATGTGGGATTTGAGCCCAGGACCTTCGATCTGGAGCTCGAACGCTTAATGTCTACACCAATGGGCCAGCATCCAGTGGAGCTAATCTGTGTCAGGTGGAGACAGGTATTCACCGCTGACAATGGTAGATGGTCGCTCAATATTGTGAATTGGTTGAAGTTAAACAGCAACACCACTGAGTGCCGGCTTAATGGTCGAGGAGTTGAGTACTTGCCTGTGAGACCGAAGGTCCTGGGTTCGAAACAGTCGTCCAGTGTTTCCAGGTTTTCAATGGTGGTCTAACGTCAATCGATTCAGGATCTCAATCAAAAACTTAACAATCTCCACAATTCTTCACCAATATATATATATATATATATATATATATATATATATGTTTTCACTAGGCAAACTATGCTATACAACATATCAAAATTATCCCCATTTTACTATAGTGAACAAGGATTTAGGTGGGGGGGGGAAGACCATTTTACTGTTTAATGCACAATCATTTAAGTGTTTAGCAAAGTGTGAAAATTGTACATCAAATACATTAATTGCACACCATTTTTGAATTGTCTCTCACAAGCTTGATTGTTCCTTCATTAGTGCCGTTGTTTTGGTTACTTTCAATTTCCTTCCTTTCTCCTCTTCATTCTAATCTTATCAATCTTCTGCTCTAAGACATTCCACTTCCGACTAGTGTTACATATTACTTCTACCTACAAACATAAGTAGCATAAACCATATTACTACATCATTTATTTATTTGGTAAATTTTGTTAATATAAACTGTCATGGATATGAACATCCTACCATATTATTAAATACCAATAAACAATAATAGAATGAATAATCTGCTTTCCTTTTTGTTTTGATCACCTTCTTATCTAGAATTATTTTAGTGATCCATGGAATGTATTCGATTTCATTATTGTTGTTGGTAGTTTCGTTGATATTAATATGTCACATCTTGCGGTAAGTTTTTGTTTGTATCTTGAAACGTTTAATAATAATCAGTATAATCAGAAGGAGTTTTGTGTGGAGATTTCGTATTTTCGTAGTTGAAAGCATGGGTTAATTGAGGTTTCACCACCAAGGAAAAACTGGAAGCTCTGGGCGGACGTTTCATGCTACTGCGAGACTCCTCAACAGTGTACATTCACGATCCCGTCTGGTGAGAACCGAACACACGCGATGTCGTGGATGAGCACTCTTGAATAGTCCCACAGTAGGACAAAACGGCCATCCAGTGCTTCCAGGTAATGTGACTGGATGATTTAAAAGAGAACTAATCAGTTTCACTGTCAGTACCAATATGCTTGTATAAGAACTATTAGATGTAAATGACTCTGAGGATTCAAGATGCAGATTATTAAAATTTAAACTTTGTTCATCCGCTTTTCCTAAAATATTTTCTCTTTACCAATTATTCTATTTTGCTGATAGAATAGTTTCTTCCACAATAAACCATCACGTTTCCTAAGCCACTGAGCCGTTTGAACTGTAACCGTCCGAACGTTTCATACTGTAAAATTGGGTGATATGGGTTGTAATGCAATCGGAAACATCGATTTTGTCAAGATTACAGTTTTCTAACATCATAACACAGGTTGACAGTTTTGAGTTAATTAGACTGGCGTCCACAACATGTTATGGATAAAATTTGATTGACAGTAAAAGACTATACAAACTACCCTTCAGTGATATATATATGACATCCTACTAGCATGAAAAATTAGCTCACCATTCAACAATCGCTTATAACTGAATTCTACATAGTCTTCAATAACTAGTGTCCTATGATATTAAAGACTAGTTTATAAAAAAGTATGGAACTTTTGAATTTCGTGCAAATCATATTAAATTGGAGCTATTATTGACTGTCCTGTAAAATGTTTCTCTCTTTCTTTAAAAAAATAATAAGTAGTTAGTTCGTTAAGGATTAAGGATCATCTTATAATCACAATGAATCATTGAAAGATTGAAGAAGTTGACGCCTTTTTTATTCGAATGTGTACACACTTGAACTTATGATTCAAATAATATTACCCGACGTAAATTTAAATGAAACATTTACCACTTTTTCCCTTTTCTAATTTATCTAAACAATAAATTCACTATAGTTGAGATCATGAGCCAATTAAAGCTAGACCACCATGGAAAACCTGGAAGCACTGGACGACCGTTTCGTCCTATAGTGGGACTGCTGAGCAGTGCGCATCCACGATCCTTACTAGCAAGATTCGAACTCATTACCTATTAGTCTCACTTAACCGATCTCAACTATATGAAATTACTAAAATCTCCACAAAACCCCCTTCTAATAATGATCATATACTCACTAGTGACTGGCTCCATAAGGTATTTCCTGGATTTCTAATGAGAAGCAGTAACCAGTGGAGTTCAACCGGGTATGTTTCGAAATAACAACTGACTGAAGATAATGGTGAATGGTTGCTCAATTTCGTGGATTGATTGAAGTTAGACATTAACACCATTAGATATCTGTTCAGTGGTGAAAAGGTTAAGCGCTCGTGCACGTTACTGATACGTCCTGGGTTCGAATCTCGCGAGGCAGGATCGTGGATGCGCACTACCACTGGGGAGTGCCACAATAAGACGAAAAGGCCGTCCTGTGCTTCCAGACTTTTCATGGTGATCTAGCTTCAATTGACTCATGATCTCAACTATATAAAATTACTAAAATCTCCACAAAATCACCTACTGATAATTAATTTACTGTGAATTTATTTAGTTTTTTGGAAAAAAAGTAATTCATTTTTGTAGACATAAGTAATTGAGATGAAAAGTAAAATATCCAAACAAATGAAACTTTGAATCATATTTAACTTTATATTCACTTGGTGTTGTTTATTTGTATCTTCCCATTGTTAATTAGGATTGCAATTGATCAGTCTCTTGTTGACATATGTTCATCCTGTGCGAACTGCCTCGATATTACTGAAAGTCACAAGCTTTATAAGCTTTATAAGGATGCATATATGACAACCAGATACTGATCAATTGCAGTCATAAATAACAGTTGGAAGATAGAAGTAAACAACACTAAATGAATTTAAACTTCACTCCATTGCACTAGTAGGTGGCTATCAGGAATCATTAGCCAAGTTAATAACGCCATGGCGTTTGAAGCGAACGATACTGGGTTGGAGTCCCAGAGTGAACATCAACAAGTCTGAGATGCAGATACATCCAGCTGACGAGTCCCGAATAGGACAAAACGCGGGTCCTAAATTCCACTGCCAACTACTAACCATCTTTACTTAAATATTTAACTATATTCCTTTCAACTATCATAGTTATTAATTTATCACACTGTCGTTAACGTAAACACTATAATTGCATTCATTTATCATCTACTGAGTTTACATTTATTTCTTTTTATTTGTTTTTTTTTTAAAAAAAAGGCAAATTCAAAATTTATCAGTATTAATTTCTTTCGTTTATTTCGTGTAATGCGATTGGTTAAATTATTAAATCGTGGAGAAGGTATCCGGACACTTCTATGGACATTTGTGAAATCATTTCAGGTATATATCGTGTTCTCTTTTTTTAAAAAAAAAATAATGATCATACACATTTTGTCCTAGCAACAATTTGAGCTGTGAATAAGCTATTTTCTGATGAAGAAAGTCTGATACTTTAGTGACCTTTTATGTGACTGCAGTTAGGTCGTACGCTAATTGATATCGGTATATACACGGCGACAACAGTCATATAGTTCTATTGACTTCATTCGTATTAGAAAATAACGTAATGAAATAAGCCAAATACAAGAATGCATTTTAAATTCGTATATTTTGTGCACTTTTTGACTGGGACATACAATCAAAGAAACGAAGTGAAGAAAGAGAAGAGAGACGAAATGAAATGAAGTGACGCTCAGTGAAGAGGCCGAGTTAGGCCATTCGATTATGATCAGGAGCGACTCAATATATATATATATATATATATATATATATATATATATATATATGAAATGTGGTTACAGACAGGCAATAAATAGGGCAAACAATCAACACACATACGATCGCATAAAATCCAGTCAGGTTTAATAATCGAATAAGTGACAAGGTCAAAATGTGACTTGAAAAGAATAAATAATTAGAGGCACTCAGATTATTATATTATATAATTAGTGTCTCCTGTTAGTACAAAATGTATTGCATTACTCAATGATGTCCCATACTATTGTTGCTGGTTTGTTAGTGCTTAACAACACATCGTTCGGGTTTCTGGAGGTTTGCATCAAATATACCGGATAACGAAATATTTGACAGAATTACTTAATTGTTCCATTTATTTCCCAACACAGTTCTCAGATAAGATTGAATGCGTACTCCAAAGACGAAATAATGATATTCTTCGAAGTTATAGCTTTGTTCACTCTAAAAGGAACAAGACGTGTCTGAGATATTAAAGTATGACCACTCAGAAACTACAAACCAGTCAGACCACACAGTGCCTAAGTCTGAATAAACTGTCTGATCTATGTCTTACATCACATATCCAATTCAGAAGTTAAATTTACAAATAGGTTAAAATATCTCTGATGAGATCCTTTATATTGGAACTTGAAGCTACAGCTGTATTAATAATAGAACTAAAAAATTCGGTTGTTATGTAGATGATGTATTTATTATCTTGATAAAATACAAACATGAAAATAATCAAATTTTGGTTAACAACATTTTCAATCACATCAATTTGAAAACAAAAAATGCTGAGAAGTTCCACAATAGGACGAAACGGTTGTCCAGTGCTTCCAGGTTTCCCATCGTGGCCTAGCTTTAGTTCAATCATAATTTCAACCATTTAAAAAATTAAGTATTAAAAAAAATCCAATTCGTAGATGTTTTATTCAACAACGTAAAAATATAAACTACGGAACCATAAGCACATAACAGATAGAAGCACAAGGATTTAGTACTGAACTACAACAGTTACAAACCGATAGGACACAAAAAGAAGTTGTTTTCAGACATCACTCAGAAGAGCTAAAACCCACTTCAGTACTCTCGTCAATCCGAAAATCAATAAGCGTATCTTTTGTAAGAATGTTGATCTTAATAAAATCAAAAAGATGTTAAGTGAACTGATATACCGTCAAATAACAAACCACCAAAACCAGGAAACAGTTTGTCCTACCGTACGTATCAAGTTTGTGCAAACTCGCACAATAATTCTGAAGCTATATTTTATAGATCTAAAATGATAATACCGTTTTCCCCACAAACCATGATGTATAGCTTAGCTTCTTTTTTCAAAAATTCCTTTCCTTCTGTACACTGTTAAGTGGTGAAAAAATATTAAGGACTATTGATTACTTTTGATCAACCTGTAAGTGTTTAAAGCTTCACATTATTGATGTTAAAGCTTGTCAGTGATCAGTTTCTTTCAGGATACTTGCGTCCTTAGAATATTGTCTCGATGTTGCCATTAAGTTATAATGATTTTTAGGTAAAGTTGACAGTGATACAGCGGTACAGATTTTGACAACTAGACTCAGAAACTAATTGGATAACGCATTGACTAGCTGAAACAAAAGGCTCCGGATGTTGGTTTTGATGTAAATATCACTATCATAATGCAGGCACATCAATCTGTCGAATCCCAGGTAGGACAAAACACTTGTCCTAAATTTCACTATCAGCCACCACCAAATTTTATTTAAAAACACTGATTACTTGATAATTCCTTTCTTGAAATTTCATTTGTTCAATTATACAATTTTGTTTGAATACTTCGTATATAAACTATAACCTCAATTATCACATATATATTCTGATCTTATTGGATGATACGTTGATGGTAACTGATTACTTTTAGGAGATGTACTTACTGATTTTTTTCGTTATTCCTGGATTGCGTACAATGATGTTTTAACAATATTCTTCTACCACTCATTTACAGGCATTACCCTACGTTGCTCTATTAATCATCATGTTATTTTTTATATACGCTGTAATTGGAATGCAAATGTTTGGTAAAATTGCATTAATCAATCCAGATAGTTCAATAAATCGTAATAATAATTTTCAAACATTTCCACAATCTTTATTAGTACTATTTCGTTCTGCAACTGGTGAAGCTTGGCAAGAAATAATGTTAAGCTGTGTTAACGGTAAGTTCATAGAATTTCAACCTGTTAACGGTGGAGAAGATTTGTAGCTCAGGTGGGTGATTTTGATATAGGTTTGTTCTCTGAGCTGGATGGTTTGGTCGTGGAGCTTTCATCCTACTTCTGAATGACATTATCAGCACAAACGTCGGGTAGAAGTGCTGATGATGTCGTTCAGAAAGACGGTGAAAGCTTCACGACTACACCATCCAGCTCAGAGAACAAGCCTACATCAAAAACAACCTGTTAACATTATTAAATAATTTATGACCAGAAAAGTCAAAAAATTAATTGTAGAACTGATGTGTAGCTTGTCGATTAGTCATGAAGTCCTACCTGTCGTGGTTATATAAACCATAATAGAGGAATATAGGGATTTCATTTTATTCCTAGATTTCTTAAAAATAATCTTACCATCATTGAGTTATCGAGAATAATGTGTCACTCAAACAAGATTTTCAGGTGACTGTAATCAAAATCATGATTGTTCTCCACATATCAGAATCATGCCCCGGTCACCATAACTATAACATCCAACCTAATGTGATTAATTGAAATGATAATATTGAAGTTCGAAGGTGAACTTCCTCATTAATTATCTAGGAATAACTTCAACTCTATAACAATTTTCAGTAATTCTGTTTCAATATGTAGCATTTTTAAAAATCTTGGTTCTATTCAATATAAACAACTTTCCATAGATTCACTTTGTATTACTTGTTTGAATCTTCCCATTGATGTTTAGGATTGCAACTGGTCAGTCTCTTATTGGGAATATGCGCATACTGTGCGTATTGCCTCGATATAGCCTTATTTCACAAGCATTGTAAGCGAAGATGGATAGTGGCTAGCAGTAGAATCCAGGACGCGCATTATGCACATATGACAGTAAGAGACTGACCAGTTGCAGTCCTGAACATCTATGGGAAAATTCAAACAAGTAATACTAAATGAATTTAAACTTCACCCCATTGCAAAAGTAGCTGGCTGTCAGGAATCAGTAGCTAATTGGATAATGCGATAGCGTTTGAAGCGAAAGGTAGTAGGTTCGAGTTCCAGAGTGAACATCAACTCTGAGATGCAGATGCATCCAGTTGACGAGTCCCAAAATAAGACGAAACGCGCGTCCTAGATGCCACTGCTAACCACTATCCATCTTTGCTAACTTTCCATAGGTTTCAATTGGTAGTCATGACTTGTGGAAATTTTCGGGTACACAACAATGTGGAAAACGGATTCTAAAAGTTATACTTCGCGGAATGTTAACTTAATTTCGAAACTTGAAATTATATTCTATTAATTAGTGTCTGGACTGTTTGATATTTGTTAGAATTCCTTATAGGATGAGTTTTGTAAAAGAGGTTATAGACAAGTGTCAAACCAGATGAAATGGATGTTCAATCGTATCTTATTTACATTTTTGTTTTCAAATAGTAACAATTGTTAAAATGATCGGTCTTCTTTAACCCTAAAGATTGCTGAAAACATTCGTTTATTTCTATGAACTCATTTATATTTGCTTATTAATTCTCTTTTATCTTAGATCACACTGTCAAATGTGATAGATTTTCGGATACTGAAATGAAAGCCATACGAAGTTTTTTAGATGAACAACAACATATTATTTTAACGAACACTTCATCAACACAACATATTCTTGTAAAACAAAATGGTAACATTTCAACGGAATCCTCAACACATTTTCTAACGTCTATAGATGATGTAACAGAATATAATCAACCTTCAGTGTCACTTTATAGTCATGAACGTGATAACCATTCCATATGGGATGCATTGAACAATGGATTGATAGATAATAATCATAATTCTTTATTTGCTTATTCACATCCTTCCAATTTACTAGCAGTAGAAAATCCTACAATAGAAAAAGAATGGTCTTCTTCATTTCCATCGGTTGAAAACATACATCCACCAGATGATGTTATTTATTCACCAGATTTTGTAACTAGATATAGACAAAGTAGGGAAATTAATGATCAAAATGCAACTGTTTCTTCCATTTCAACACAACTATCATTGTCTTCATCATTAAAACCAGTTCATATCCAACCTATGCATTCATCTGTTGAAGAGCTTGATGAAAGAACTATTAGTTTGAAGAAGTTAGATGAATTAGGATACAATGGACCTCGTGCAACTTGTGGATCAAATTTTGCCTATCCATATTTTATTTCTTTCTATATGGTTTGTTCCTTCCTTGTGAGTTTCATTTTTCTTGCAGTTAATATGCTTAACTTAGTAATTTAAATAAAATATTCACTTCTAACTGTAGATAATTGATTCCAGCTTATTTATTTTATTTAATTTATTTAAACACATAAATATTGGTACAAGGAAGCACCAGATATATATGCGCCACACAAATCTCATTTGATTTGTATGAGGGCTGGAATACTGCATAGGTGCCCAAACCGAAGCAGGTGGTTTTCTTAGGGGGCCACACCCCGAGCCTTTCATCTAAAGATCTGATCCACAAGGCAGTGGGGCATCGTGAGGAAATGCAGTTCCATGGTAGCCGGTTATCAACAATTGATTCATACGCCAGTTGTTCTCTCAGAATACTGGATCCCATGTACATCATTGGTTTGGAATCAGGGTTTTCCAACTCCCCTAGGTGAACTTTCCGTGTCCACCAACCCAGTTAAAGTGCCGGACATTCGCTTTTCGTCCTCTCAATTTGGCAAACAACAGTAGTGCCATGAGAAGGTTATGATTAGGACTTGTGTGGCAGAGGCTATATACGCGTGGCCCTGTGAGAGCATTTGGAGAGGGAGAGCGTACTCTCACTTACTGTAAGAACACTTGACGTTTTCTTTTTAACTTTTAAAAGTTTTTACATTATATGCTATTTTGAAGTTTCCCATTATGACGAAAGAGTTCTATTGACTAGTTCTTCAACATTAGAAATCGACAGAAATATACCGCTTCTTGAGAGTGAAATGTTTTAGAGATTTGATTTAGTCAAATATCAGTAGATTATGAAAGTTTCAAACAACTATAACGTCGTATTTATAACCATCTACTTCACCATTCATCCTTTTCTATATGCTAATTACATTTTATCCCATACTGTTACAAGTCTATATGTTTTCCTAATTATGTTTATTATCATTATTATAACTGTTAATATTTTAGATTATCAACTTATTTGTTGCTGTTATAATGGATAACTTTGATTATTTAACACGGGATTGGTCAATATTAGGTCCACATCATTTAGATGAATTTATACGTTTATGGTCAGAATATGATCCTGAAGCAAAGTAAGCTATACACATTTATGATGAGCACCTATTGTTTTTATACAAGATCATTGAAATAATGAAAGTATAGGATATTGATATGGTTGATATTTGTAGCTTAGGTGGATAATTTTGATGGAGTTACGATCTTGAAGCTAAACAATTTAGTCATGAAGCTTTTATTGTTCTTTTGAACAACAATATCATCAGGACAAAATTCAGGTAGAAGTGAAGGATTCGAGTTTCTCTACAGATTTTGAGGACTTTAGATTCCCAGAACTCACTTGGAAAAGGTCCTAATTTTGTAATTTTATTCTGAAAATTTGAATTTGACGTTTTCGCGGTAAGAGACGCTTAGTTGACCTACAGCTTACATCTTCCACTCAGAAATCCTTGACTGTCATTGGTTGACGAACTTTTTTAGTACGCTATTTTGTGGCTTCCCAAAGGGCATTTCTGTCATTGCATAAATAAGTTTTATTTATGTGCTTAGTGACCTCGTATTTTCTATGTGTTTGTAGAATACATTCTCAATGCCTCATCAAGACTTCTTGATCTAGTTATTAGGGCCGGGAACATCGGATTTGAATAGCCTTAAGTGTCATTTGTCTTTGACCTTCGTTCCTTTTACCGAGTAAGGTGGACTCGTAATAGCATCAAGCATATCAACATATGACTCACAGCTTCTCCTGTAGACCTCGATCTTTGTTTATTATTATTGTTTAGTTTATCATTATCTGGCTTTTTATCTTCATTGTATACCATCATAACCTGAAAACTGTATTTAGAAAGACTATAATCAACCTGAATCAAAGGAAACTATTACTCTTCGTAGTGCGGATCTCAGAAGTCTCCAAAGAAAAAAGTTCAATATTACTAACCAGGTTGATCCACATTTTGATCTGGTGTCTCAGGGCTGGACGTATCTGAATGGTCTTAATCTCTAACTTACAAATAGAAAAAAATTATCCTGCGATAGTTACAAAGCTATCATTTCAATCAGTAAAGGTTTTAGAACATTTGTTTCCATACTCGTACAACGCCTATTCAAACTTGGATATTAATGAGACAATGCAAACTAGACAAATGTTAGATATACTTATGAATTCATGAACCCAATACGTTTTGTGCGTTCGGTTTTACGGACCTAAGAACGCTTATGAATGTTTAAATATGATAGTATTTTTTATTTCAAAGACATTATAATCGGTTAAAATGTTTGGAAGCACTGGACGGCCGTTTCGTCCGAGTATGAAACTCCTCAGCTTTGCGCGTCCATGCAGGATCAACTGAAGTTAGACACTAACACGTTTGGATGCCAGCTCAGTGGTCTAAAGGTTAAGCGCTTGCTCGTGAGACCGAAGGTCTTGTGTTTGAGTCCTTTTGATGCGGGGTCGTGAACGAGCACTGCTGAGGAGCCCCATACTAGGATGAAACGGTCGTCCAGTAATTTTAGGTTTTCAATAGTGGTCTAGCTTACATTGACATATGAATTCAACTATCAAAATTGCTACAATCTACACAAACAAAATTCTGAACATTAAAATTTTGGTCCCGTTACGTTATAAATACGTAACACTAATGAACCCTTTTTACTAAAATGTATTTATTGTCCTATGTTTGATCACGATGAAATATATTCTGAACTTATATATATTCAAACTACATACTATCCCAAAGTTCGTACAATTCTTTCATATAAATGCGACTGAAGTGAACGATTTATAATTAATAATTATGTAACGGTTAGTTTTGATTATATTTACATATATTAGATGTTTCATTAGCCTTGGTGCATTGGTAACAAAAACACTTAGTTGGTTTCAACTTGAATCATATACGTTGCTGGTAAGATTTCCAAGTAGCAAACGAGAAACAAATATACTACTTATCAGTCCATTCTGTACTATTCTCTGGATATGTTTTATATTTATTTACCTTGAAACCAACATCTGAATAGGAATTAAGTAGAAATATAATTTTAGGTAGGAGGAAAAAGTTGAAAAATGAGGTTATTAACTCTGATCACCGGAAGTATTCCAGAATAGATATTGCCACATTCTAATTAAGATGATAAATTATCGACTATTTTAATAACTAGGAATGATATGAAATTGGATCAGTATGAAACGAAATCAACTTTTAAATACAGAATAAGTATTCCAAAAAAAAAGTAGATGAAAACAACAAGTTTAAGAATAAATATTGTTATAAAACTGAGATGACGTGGCTAACAGTGGAATCCAGGACGCGCGTTTCATCCTATATGACTGAAGGCATAAGATGCACATATATCAATAGCAAACTGATCAATTGCAGTCCTATACATCAATGGAAAGATTCAAGCAACCAATACAAAAATGAATCAAATATGTTATAGTTTCCGAATAAGACCGATCATTACCAAATTCAATTTTTTAAATCACTTTCAGTTTGATATTATTTCTTTTATTCTATTACAATTTTTAAAAAAAATTGCATACATTTGTTGATGAATGTGCATTTCATTTAATTCATTTTAGAGGAAGAATTAAACATCTTGATGTAGTTACTCTTCTTCGTAAAATATCTCCTCCATTAGGATTTGGTAAATTATGTCCTCATCGTACTGCATGTGTAGTAAGTTCATTATTATTAAATTACTGATTATATAACAGTTTGACAGTAGTCAGATATTTTCAGAATTAATTATTTACTAATGAAATATTTAAGGCATTCATTCAAACAATCATGTTAGTTTAGTGATTTAACTATTCAACATATAGAGATTTATGATGATATAACATTCAAGTATCCTTCAGAAATTTGGATTTATTCTGTTATATCGGGTGTGTGTGTGTGTGGGAAGTTGATATATATGAACGTTGTAAGACCGTCATTTAGAGAGGAGTGAATTATTGATTAGAGCAATGATATACAAAAGCTGTATGAACAGTCTTGAGTACTTATCAGTCATGCTATCTGCCTAGTACAGCCAGTTAAGTTCAGAACACCAATAATAGCCTCTGCAATATGAATCCCTATTCTCAAACATTCTGGGTTTATATATCAAACAAACTGACTACAACGTACCATAATATAGAAAATAACATTTGTACAAGATTTAGCCAAATGTGGCTGTGAATGGGGGGGAACAGTAATTAATGGACTAGGGATAACTCAAGAATAGTAAATCGTATAATAATAGTTGATAGGTCAAAATAAAGCTTATAATAAGGGGGACACGAATAAGAACATTTTAGTTACTTAACAATCATACAATAAGAAATATACGCATCATATTGGTCTATAACTAGACCTCAAAAGTTACCATTCATAAATCTCCACGGGATATAACATATTCCAAGAATAGAAATAATCTATTGTTCAATACATATCCATTGCATGTTCAAATATCAAAGTCCTATATAGATAACAATATATCTTAGAATATTTTGTATAACATTCCTATTTCAAATAATTATTCTATTCAACATTCCATTGTAATTCATTATTACTTCTATATAATCTTATAACTAAGCTACCCATCTTAAGCTATCTAACATTATTTAAAGGTGTAAACCATTTTAGGAATTAGAAATTGTATTTAAAATGTACAGGATGAAATATATTGTACATATATTTCTATGGTATTATATCTCATTTCTCTCTTAATGTTATTGACTTTATCAGAAGGGGGCTTTGTGGAGATTTTAATAATCTTATAGTTCAAATCATGAGTCCATTGAAGCTAGTCCACTATGGATAACCTAGAAGGACTAAACGGCCGTTTCGTTCTATTGCGGCATTGCTGAGGTATCTGACAATAGAACGAAACAGCCGTCCATTGATTTCATGTTTTCCATGGTGGATTAGATTCAATGGACTCATGATTTCAACCATTAAAATTATTGACTTTAATAAAATAATTTAAATAATAGCTTAATATAGTAAATCTTACAAACTATCAGTTTAACTAGATGGACAAAGTAAACTTGGATTCTTAGGAGTATTCTTAAATTCTTAAGATGATTTACTTTTAATAATTTCACTTTAAATACCATCGTTCTATAAATCTACCTTGTAATTAATAGGTTTATAAATTATCCTTTAGCTGATTAGGTACAATTTGAATAAATAACTTACAAAACTGATGCTGAGAGTATTCATTCCATTGATAGATCATATCTAGTCTCCTCTAAGAATACTCTGTTTCTTTCAGTAAATTTACAATTGTACTCTACCTATAATAATTGACTTTTATTATCAGAAGGGGTTTTGTGGTGATTTCAGTATTTCCATAGTTGAAAGTATGAGTCAATTGAATCTAGACCACTAAGGAAAACCTGGAAGCACTAGACGGCCGTTTCGTCCATATTATGGGACTCCTTAGCAGCGCTCATTCACGATCGGATGCCAGTTCAGTAGTCTATCGGTTAAGTGCTCTGGCGCGATACTAGTAGATCCTGGATTCAAATCTTGTGGATGCCGTGCAGTACTTCTAGGTTTTCCTTGATGGTCTAGCTTAAATTGACTTTTATTTAGAGAATTGTGCCAAGTCTAGTAAAATATGTATATCAGACCATATTTATAATATTCACTAGAATACTTAATGACATTTCTGAAATGGAAAAAAAGGTATTTTGTTTATGTAAATTTATAATATCAATGTGAATTACTGACTTGAAAACTACAATTTCTTTTATTTAGACATTCATTGTAAATTCATTCTTTGTCTAACTATTCAAATTCTTCGGTTATTCATCATCGATCTAATTCAACATCAAGCTCACCAATACTAATAAACCATTGAAAGCAACAACTTTATATTACTTAATAAGGTCATACAATATTTCATAGTTATATTTTATACCTAAGTAATTAATAGATGCATTGTTTAACCATTCAAATAAACATATACTCTTTACAGTAAGTCTCATTTGTTTCCAATAACACAACGGTGAAACAAAAACAACAAAGAGGTTTCATTAGGTAATGTAAGAATGATGGAATTTTTGTAGGTAAGGTAACCATAACATTGAGTACATCTATGCCAACAGTATTGATTATGCATTACAGTAATCAAGTTTTCAGATAGTATTAACAACCATAACAGGATATTATAAACTCATTTTTATAACATAAATTAATAAGATGACTTTTAGATAACTGACATTGTACACTTTGTGATGACATGACCCTCATCCTTTGGTATTTTTTTTTAACTTAGCCGTCAAAACTAAAACTTATACATTCCAAACATAACAGAACTGTATGATGCCTCATTTTATTAAACTAAGTTAGACATTAACACCGTTGGATGCCGGCTCATTGGTCTATCGGTTAAGTGATCTGGCTCGAGACTGATAGGTTCTGGGTTCGAATCCCGCCCGCGAGTGCGGGATCGTGGGTGCACACTGCCACTGAGGAGTCCCATAATAGGACGAAACGGCCGTCCAGTGCTTCCACGTTTTTCTTAATGGTCTAGCTTCAATTGATTCACGCTTTCAACTATGAAAATACTAAATTTCCACAAAACCCGTTCTGATAATTAATTAAAGAATTGCTTTACGAGTAAATATTATTTCTGTAAGAGAATTTAATCATTTATGAATCCGAACATTGTCGGAAGAATAAATGAATGGAGATATCATAGTTTTGCGTCTTCTTGTAACAATGTATTCATTCAGTCATACTTCCTAGTTCAAGCACCGATTCCATCCAACCAACCATACACAAGTTAAACTGATAAAAAGTCTCGATTCTTTTATAGTAACGTTATGGGAGTAAAATGTCATACAAAATGTTTTTAACTGTTTATGTTTGAAACAACTCAATAATTTGAATTCCCAGTTCATGAATGAAATTTCTTTGATCTCGACAGTGATCAGCAATTCATAGTTGATAATTTTATTTTCTTTGACTGTGCTATTAGTTGATAACATTATATACCTGAAGACTTTGTTGAATATTGAACAGACTTAAATCATAATGTGGTGTATGGTAATGATGTCGATAGATATAAGTAGTATGTATCATCAGTCGAAAGTGAAATACCTAGTGGCAGAAAGTCAAAGAAAAGAGAACAAGAAAAGTGATTAGTGTGGAGGCGAAAAAACAATGAAATCTGAGACGACTTATGGATATTTTGCAAATGAAGTATTTGCAGTATGGTTCTCAAATTTGCTCTTTATGTGATCCTTGTTGCAACTATTAGGGCTACCAAAATCAATCAGTGTATCCATTCTTCTTCCCGGTTTTTTACTTTATGGGTTTCAACCTACATGTACTGCTTTAGTTAGCAAGAGTTGTAACTAAGTCTATATATACTCATATTTTACCACCTAACTGACAGTGGACGTAGTATTAAGATGTTGATTCTCAGATGTTTATTAGGTCCCGAGAAATTCGCTAATAGACATAGAATTATCTATTCTCTTTATTACTGGAAGCAACTGGCGTCAACTTAATCAAAAGAGTTTTATGTGTACAAAACAAGAAATTTTCTCTTATCTCCTTCTTGTATAGATTTTTTACATTTTATCAATGATGCATATTGTCATTATTTTGAGATCTAATGTTTGTGGAATACACTACTTTCAACCTATAAAATGGATTAATACAACCATAGTGATAAATGAAATAACCGTGCAGTGCTTCTAGGTTTTCAATGGTTATTTAAATTTGATCAACTCGTGATTTCAATGAAATTACATGCACAATTAGCTTCGAACGTAAATATTTTGGGATCAAATGAATATCGGATATGTTGAGACATTCAATATTAGTCAGTCCTTGTCTACACATTAACTATACAAGTTTCTATATCTATGACCTTATTATCTTTCTATTTAAGTCTCGATCATTCATGAAGAATTCATTAACTGACAATAAATTTAAAATGTACTTCTAATCTTTCATTAATTATAAATTCAAGAGTGCGAAGCAGTGACCAGTGGAGTTCTACCGGGTTTGTTGTGAGATAGTAACTCACTGAAGACAATTTCGGACGGTAGCGAAGTTTTATGGATTAGTTGAAGTTAGACATTAACATCAATGGAAGTCAGCCTATGATCCAAAGGTTAAGTGTTCGCGCTCCAGATCAACAGGTCCTGAGCTCGATCGTGGATGCTCACTGGTAAGGAGTCCCACTATAGGACGAAACAGCCGTCGAGTGCTTTCAGATTTTCCATGGTTGTCTAGCTTCAATTGATTCACGAACTCAAATAATAAAATACTATAATATCCACAAAAACCCCCTTTCTGATGATACTTCTATGTACATCATTATTAATATCTATCAATTTCGATTCTTTACATAAATGTTTGAATCTTTTTTGATCAGACTTTAGTACGTATGAACATGCCCTTGAATAGTGATGGAACTGTAATGTTTAATGCAACACTATTTGCTTTAGTTAGAACTAATTTAAAAATAAAAACTGAAGGTAAGTTATTATTTTACTACTTTTTTTAACAGATCAACATTTAAAACTATGTTAATTTTACCGTTTTTCCTAAACTGTTTTTTGCTTACTTTACTTACTACTTATATCCATACACAAGACCCAAATACCCTGAAACAGCCGAGGATGAGGGAAGTCTAATCTCACATAATCACGCGTATACAGTCTTTGTCAATGAAGTCCTACTCATTGCCTTCTCGAGATGAAGGTGTCGTTTACCGAATTGAGAGGACGGAAAGCGAATGTTTGGTGCTTTAACGGAGTTAGTGGATTTGGAGGATATATCTGGGAGAATTGGTAAACCCTGATTCTAAACCGATGATGCATATAAGCTACAGGATCCTGAGGGAGCGAATGAAACTATTGTTGGTCAGGGGTTACCATGGGACTGCATGTCCTAACGTTTCTCTTTTGCCTTATGTATTATACCTCTAGGTCAAAGGTTTGAGGAGTGACCTCACTAATACATTTTGTGTAGGAATTTTTGTTGAACTTAGTGAATAAGTATTTTACAGTAAATCAGCCAAACCGAATTTTCTTATTCAGATTTTTTAGAAATGATGTAACTATACTGTATTATTAAATTAACACATAAATAAATGGTGAATGCAAAGATGGATAGTGGATAGCAGTGGAATCCAGTTTGACGCGCGACACTTCGCCCTATTCGGGACTCGTCAACTGGGTGTACCTGCATCTCAGAGTTGATGTTCACTCTGGGACTCCAACCCAGTACCTTTCGCTTCAAACGCAATCGCGTTGTTCACTCGGCCACTGAATCCTGATAGCCACTTGCTTGTGCAATGGGGTGAAGTTTAAATTCACTTAATATTGTTTTGTTTGGATCTTCCCATTGATGTTTAGGACTGCAACTGGTTAGTCTCTTATTGTCATATGTGCATACTGTGCGTATTGCCTCGTTATAGACTAAATTCGGAAGCATGGTAAGATTTTTCCATTGGCATCAGCTTCCGGTTAGCATTTTTTCTAGTGAGGTAAATTTTTACGGGATGGGATCGCTAAACCCATGCCCAACTCTCCTCGTTTATCCAGGCATGGGACCGGCAGTAATCTCAGAGGAGTGACAAGTGAAGTTAAATGGTGAATGAATTCATTTTATAGGTCATTTAAAAAAAAACTATTATTGAATGCATTCCAATGTAGTGCTTATGAATGTTTTAGTGAAATTAAACATCAACTGATAATTTCTGTTATCATACTGTTCACATTTTAATGTTACTGAATACTATGGACTGAGATGGTTAAGCCACGTGTTACGTATGCCTGAACACCTACGCGCTATGCTGACTAGTGTAGGGGATGGTTGGAAGAGAGTTAGGAGCGGCCAAACCAAAACGTGGCATCAGAACATGAAGTCACTAACTTCTAATCTGAACCCGGTTGGTAGATACAGACTACTTGGTTGGGGTCCGCGTGACTATCGTAATCAATGGTTGGTGACTCTAGGTGACATGGCTCAGAATCGATCACAATGGCGCAGGTCTATACACTCTTTATCTTTCTTTAAACCTTGAGATTAAATTGTTTCATAACTTTTTTCCTTCCTATACTATATCTTTATATACAACCTTTCTTTTATATATTATCATCACTAAATTAACTACTTCTATGAATTTGGTGTTCATCTTGTTGTGATAATGAGGTATGGCAACTTGGACCGTTGCATAAATGTGCCTGCTTCTACGTTGTAGCTGACTGACTGACTGAATACTATCCATTATTATTATTATTTGATATAGGTGCTGCAATTGATCAATTGAATGAAGAGCTTCGTGCTGTAATTAAAAAAATATGGAAAAGAACAAGTAACAAACTATTAGATCAACTTGTTCCTCCAGCAGGTGGTAAGCTTTTGAATTTATGCTAAAACTATATCTATTTGGATTGAATTTTTTAAAAAAGGGTAAATTTCTAGCAAATTACCCTTCGTGGAAGAGTATAGGCTACCCATCAGTATTCTCTATATAACTCTATCCTAGGTAATCGTTTCCAAATTTTATTCATCTTTTTGATGTCTACTTCCAATTCTCGACTCAATGTGTACTTTAATCTTCTTATTTTCCATTTCCATTCAAGATTTCAAGTTAACGCATAAAACGTTTGATGAATGATATCATTGTCGCTGAAATATAAACCATGATCTTACTAATCTATAAAGCTTTTCTTGATATAGAGCATTGAAATTACTTTCATTATTTTGAGTAATGAATAATTGAGATACATTAAATTTCTTGTCAGTAATTGTCATTTACAATTGAAGCTCAATTTCTAATAGTATAAATCTGAATGATTTAGTTCAAAAATTGAGTTGCTATGATCAACGAATGATCATAACAAAACAAAAATATATGATCACTCTCTCATACTAGATCAAAGGTGCTGGATTCGTTTTCTCTAGGTAGGGAGCCATTGATGAACACTAATGAAAGGTCTCATCCTAGGAGGAAATGATCACCCAATCCTTTCAAGTCTTCAATGGTGGTGTAACATTGATCAGTTCATGATTTCAATGATATCATTAACTTTTTTTCCCATCAATTACAAACTAATAAATAATTTTGTTTTACTGAAAAATAGTTCCTGAAGTTTTGTATGATAACTCTAGTTCTGCGAAGAATTCTAGTTTTGAGGCGTTACTTGTATTGTAGTTTAATCGAAAAAGGACTGAAAATCAATACATAGAAAGAAGTTAACATGTTAAGCAAATAAAAAAAAATACTGGACGGCCGTTCCGTCCTATTATGGGACTCCTCAGCAATGAGCATCCACGATCCCGCTCTCGCGAGATTCGAACCTAAGGCCTACCAGTCTCGAGCCGAAGCCCTTAACCGACAGACCACTGAGCTGGCATCCAACGGTGTTAATGTCTAACTTCAACTGAACCCCTTCTATAATTAATATAATCATGTGCTCACTAGTGACTTCGAGAAGTATATCTAGGAGCTCTACTGAGAAGCAGTGACCAGTGGAGTTCAAAACCACGTCTGTTGTGAGATAGGATCTCACTGAAGACAATTGGTGAATGGTTGCTCAACTTCGTGGATCAGTTGAAGTTAGACATTAACACCGTTGGATGCCAGCTCAGTGGTCTATCGGTTAAGGGCTTCTGCTCAAGACTGGTAGGTCCTGGGTTCGAATCTCACGAAAGCGGGTTCGTGGATGTGCGCTGCTGAGGAGTCTCATAATAGGACGAAACGGCCTTAAAGCAGTGCTTCCAGGTTCTCCATGGTGATCTAGCTTCAATTGACTCACGCTTTCAACTATGATAAATACTACATCTCTACAAAACCCCTTCTACAATTAAAAAAGTAGCTTGCTTAAATCAATCAAACTAGTACATCATTTTTGATTATTTAACTCCCCCCACCTCTTTTCAATTGTCTATCACTGATTTCTGATTAAGTTACTAAAACATAAAAGAGATTAAGTAGTATGTCATAAAATCGATTAAATTGAAGTAATTTATACCTTTTCCTATATTCACCATTTACAGTTAATGAAACTATAAAAAGTAAATATAGTAGCTTAGTAATCAGAGTGGAATGTTTGCTTGTTGGTTTGTTTGTTTTAGTTGTTAACTCACTAATTGTCAGCTGACTTTGTCTTATCAGTTAGATTCTTTCTGTTTGACAATTAAGAAAATCATGAGTCAATTGAAGGTAGACCACCATGGAAAACTTGGAAGCATTGGATGACCGTTTCGTCCTACCATGGGACTCCTCAGCAGTGCGCATCCACGATCTCGCTTCATGAGATTCGAACCCATGACCTACCAGTCTCGAGCCATGGTGGTCTAGCTTTAATTGACTGATGATTTCAACTATGAAAATACTAGATTCTCCACAAAACCCCATTTGATTTATTAAAAAAATTTCGAAACAGGGAAAAATATTTTCATTTTTAAGTACTCTATTGAATTCAACTATCAAGATCAAAAAAGAAATAAAAGAAAGAGAAAAAAATAAAAGCAACTTACTGAAGACAATAGATGAAATGGTTGCTCAAACTTCGTCGATTGGTAGAAGTTAGACATTAACACCGTTGGATTACGGCCAGCTGAGTGGTCTATCGGTTAAGTGCTCTTGCACGAGACTGATAGGTCCTGAGTTGGAATCTCGCGATGTGGGATCGTGGGTGCACACCGTTGAGGAGTCCCATAATAGGACAAAACGGCCATCCAGTGCTTCCAGATTTTCCATGGTGGTCTAGCTTCAATTGATTCACGATTTCAACTATATATCTAGTTATTAGTTTATTGTACAAAATCCCGATATTCTCTTATTATATATCATGCTTAACGATGATATTGAGTAATCAAATTATGTTGATTCTAATAAGAGTTGATATGGTCAATTCGATTTTTTTTTCTTTTTTTTTACGTGATATATAAAATAATTAGAATGAGGATTTGTGAAAGTTTTAGTAATTTTCTAGTCTTGCTTGAGGAATCCTGGATGTGCACTGTTTATGAGTCCTATACTAGGATGAAATAACTATCCATTGCTTTCAGGTATTCAATGGGGGTCTAGCTTAAATCGACTGATGAATCCAACCATTCTAATATAAAATTCTTGTTTATGATTTTGTCTTATTATTATTCTTAAATGAGATATCATGATACATTGAAATCTTTGGTTAAGTAAGTATATTGTATATCTTCAACACTAATAATCATCAATAATGAGTTATTATAAACAGTAAAGAGTTGTAAAGATTTTAGAGTATTATTTGACATCATTAACTGATCATTGTTAGACTACCATTAAAAATGTGGAAGCATTGAATGGATCCACTATTGAAGAGTACTATACTAGGATTAGAAGGCCGTTTAGTGCTTTGAAAATTTGAATGATGATCTAACATTGATCGGTTGATGAACTCAATTAAAATTATAAATAATCTAATATATTTAAAAATATTTATACAATGAACAATAACAATACAGAATACAAATTTCTTGATGTATACCTATCACGAAAATCTTAATTGTTCTCTTCAGTTAGTTGTTTATGATTGTAAATGTATTCATGGTAATTAGTAAGACAATGGATAGATAGTAATTGAATGATTATTTCCTGATATATAATGCTTATTTGATTAGTTATATGAATAATCTCCCTAGTTTCTTTGCTTGTATCTTGTTTAAAACTTATGCTTTATTGTAAACTTGATCTTTTAATTTTAATCTTACGCCTGTTACTCTCAATCGAGTATAGGCTGCCGACTAGCATTCTTCAATCTTAAACTACATTTAAAAATTAAAAAAAAAGTAAAAACAGAACAAAAAATATCGTGAACGTAGAAAAACTATTCACTTAATATTCTTGTTACAAATGAGAATATAGATGGGGACAACTAAATGTTATTTCTACATAAAATTACAGAATGTCTTCGTAAAATATGAGAGCCATATATTGCGAAATTCCATCATTTGTCCTTTACACTCTAGATAATCTTTCCAAAGTTACTATTCCTTTCTATTTCCATTTCTGTTTGTTTTTTTTTCACGTCGATCTTCATAGCCTTCTGCCATGTATTCCTCTTCTGATTGATGCTACATATTACTTATGTCAAAAGACATAAGAAACATACAAAGCATTCTATGTACGGCTTAACTTCATATATCTCTAATAATCCAGGTTTATTGCTGTCATGCTAAGATTAGATTTGAGGATTCTACTAACATTGTCATTTCACTATATCAGCTTATCTATTGATTCCTTATACACGCGTATACATCTGTGTGTGTTCGTGTGTTTATTATTGTGATACTTTTTGTTTTTCAACAAAAGAAAGAAAGGAATAATCTAAGAAATAAAGTGGAGAAATCTGCCATTGATTCGTTTATTTCTCTCTATATATATATATAGTGATTCAGTCCATATACACTTAGATAACAATATGATATCGGACAAAGACTGAAGCTTGAGGTAAGATAGTGGTTGGAGGTGGTCAACACGTAACCCTGGACCCGGGTTTCGTGCTACTTGACACTTTTCAGCAAGGCGTACCTGTAATCTTGAGGGAACTGATGCTCCCTGACGGATTCGATCCCATGTCACTCAGCTTCACAGTCAGAGACGTTACCACTGAGCTATTCGGGCCGCGACTTGATCGATAGCATTCGATCAGCACTAAAGACGAACTTGACACGCATGACATTGATCACCACCCAGTGATCAATTAATTCTGAAAGACTGAAGCTTCTCCCTCTTTTATATAAGAACTGTCGTATAAATTAGAGCGAATAGTTCCACAGTATTTGAGCTCCGAGTTGATGTAAGACATTGAATAGGAAGAAGAATATGTATTTGTGAATTGAAAGTAAATCTAATGTTTCACCTGGCAATCTGGTTCAAGGAATTATAATCAAACATCGAAAATTATCGAATATAAATAGGTACATGGTTCTCTAGTTCATTGTATATTGAATAGGTCATCCTATCAACGTTCAGAATGTCTAAACTAGGTATATGTATTAGTGTAATGTGAAATGATAAGTGTGTTAAGATAACATATTGTATATAAACGTAAGTGATGAGAAGAGAAAGCCTACAATTTGTAATACATAGGATGCATATATATCATAGTATGTATAAAATGTCGGTAAATAAACAAAATAAAAGAGTGAAGTTCAAAGAGGAAGAATGTAATTTGAAACTGAATATACATAAGCAAAGATGGATAGTGACTAGCAATGGAATTCAGGACAAAGCGCATTTCGTCCGATTTGGGACACGTCAGCTGGATATAAACTACATCTCAGAATATATATCTGTGTGTTATTTTTTAATGTTCCAATTAATTGTTTAACAAATTCCGATAAAATAACTGATTAGAATCA